AACATTCCTAATATATATCATCAATTGAAACCTCTTTTTTCATAAGCATTAGCAAATTTTTCATCAATTTAAATAGCCTTATTTAAATTTCTTAATGCCGGATCATAATTATCAATTTGAAAATATAGATTCCCTAAATAATAAAAAAACCTTAAAACCTAAATTAAAATAAGCTAAGCAACAATTATTATCTAATTCTATGGCTTATTTAAAAAAGATAAGTCCATCATGATTTTTACTTTATTTTACCATCAATATCCCTAATTATTATTTATCATTATACCCAATCCTGCATATGCCAAAGCATAATTTGGATTTAATTTAAGAGCACGTTCACAATCTTCATGTGCTTCCTTCCACATTTTTTTTTTTATAAACCATTTTGCTTTAAATTATAAAACAAATTTACATCTAAGATAAAATGATTCTTCTATAAATGGGTTTAATTCAATAGCCTAATTCAAATTAATGATTGCTTCATCATATAACTTTTTGATTAATAAGATTTTTCCTATTAGAATTTCAGAGATAATTACCTCTTAATGTTAATGTTTAAGCAGAAGCAGAATTAGGGCACAAATTTAAAGAATCATTTATATAATTCAAAGCTTCGTCAACCATATTATTATTTAGCAAATCATCTATTTTTTATCTTTCAATAGTTTGCATTTAAATTTATTTATTATGTTTTCATCATATAAATAATAAGAATTCAATGATATTTATTGAAATTTCAAAACATCAAAATCATAAATCCTTAGAAAAAATCAATTCTTTAAGTTATAACAAATATTCATATATTCTTATATTCTGGGAGTTTAATTTTGATAAGTTAGTCAAAAACTCATTAAAATGCCTGTGCATATCTATAATCACTATTAAGAAACAGAATAAAAATGTATAAATATTTTTGCTCATATTGATATCACCTTTTTATTTTCTATTAAATTAATAATAATTATTAAGAAAGTTATAAATTTGTTATTAATAAATAAAAAATTACTCTTGTGATAATCAAAGGAATATTTTATAAGTATTGTTATTAAAAAAAAAGATTATTTGTTTATTTCGATTTCAACTATTTAGGTTTTTTGATGTTTAAAATTATCTCTTAAAAAGAATTAAATTGTTCAAATAATTGATTATAATATAAGAATTTGATTATCAAAAAACGAATAAATATTAATCAAGGTTTATTGAAAGCGAATTATGATTTTTGATAAAAATTAAAACTTATAGGTATCAAATATGATTTTAATTTAGCTGATTATTTACTCATATTTATATAATAAATAAAAAATAATATTTGAAATGGCAAATTCTCAATACTAAAATATATATAGGCATTTCGATTTTCATCTTAATTTAAAACAAAGCTAATCTCATTTTACAACTACTTTTTGATTCTCTTTGTTATTTCCAATGATAATTTACTTCTAATATGCAAATTTAAAAAGAATATAAATCATATTTTATCAAGTTTATTGTTAAGCTAACAACTAGATGATAATTTATTTAGATGGTAATCTGTCAATTTAATCATATTTTATTTATGTCTTAACATTAATTATTGTACAATTTATCAAAATATTAAAGAATTATGTAATTTCTGAAATGATTCCCTTAGGTTGTATGGGGCTATCTTATAAATAAGTCTTTCGATCATATATTATTAAGAATTAGAATCACTAATTTGAAATCAAATATATTTTGATGAAAATATAACCCATTTATGTTATTTTGAAAGAAAGTCTCTTCTTGTAGGCCATAATCTAAATGATTTGATATTTCTAAAAATAAAGATAAGAGGAGCTTGTAATTAAAATTCAATGAAAAATTCAACTAAGTTTAGTACTTTATTATGAAAACAAAATCAAACTGTATATTTTATTTTTGAAATGAATATTTATATGTGGATATTTTGTAAATGTGTAAAAATGAAATTTTATACATTTTTCAGAAAAAGAAATGGGAAAAGAGTTTGAAAATAATTAAGTCAATTAAGGTGATTGTATTAAATTTGGAAATAAAGTTATGAATCTATTGATTAATAAAAGGATATTCAAATTAACATTTTATATGCTTTTATTATATGATATGGTTACATAATTACACTAAAATTCAAAAAAATTCTCAAGGAATTATAAATGGATTAGTTTTCATTGGCATCTAATTTTATTTGGAATGATATAACTTTTTAACTATAATCTTTTTCAGTTCTACACCTATCATGCATAATTATGA